TGTGTTAGGAGTCAGGATGCAAAAAGAGATATATGGGTGTCGGGTTTAGAGTGGTTAGCAAGGTTACTTGCTTGGGGTATCTCTGAGCGACTGCTATAGGGATCCATTCCGGCATTCCCTACAAGGTACTTGCAGATACCGTTGCCTTTGAATCTCAACACAATATGTGTCATTGTAGTGTGCGCTGCCCAGCATGCATCTTTGAATGATTCAGGCGACGCAGCCTCTGCGGTTGTGAAGACTAATATGGCATATGGGGACCTTCATATGAGTAGAGTTTGTGATTGGGACTAAGAGGCTGCACCATACAGTTTGAGATCCTAAGCCCTAAACCCCGTGCCAGAACGAACCGTGCCTGCTGAGTCCAATGCGCGTGCCTCAACCCTAAACCCTAAACCTAAATCCTCGTCTGCCCTGTGTTGCCGTGGTCTCTCTTTACTGGGTGAGATTCTCGCCCACGTGCATACACGTGCCTGACTGAAGGGACAGCATGGTGCTTCAAGGCTTTACAACTGAGCGCAGCTTCATGTCGAAGTGGGTTGCTGTTTGGAATCTACCCCAATGAGGAAAGCATACTGTATTTAGTATTTTGAGTGCTTGTTACGGTAACATAGCTTAAAGTCCCAACACCTTTCCTAGCCTCTTTAGATCCCCAGTTTCTGTTTCTGTTTTTTTCATTTGATTCTCCATTAAGGTAACGTCCCTAAACAATGTATAAGCCCTGTATAACCCCTATGTCGTCCCCAAAGTCCTCCGTATAGAAAACCCTATATAAAGTGCGTTTTTATCGTTATAACACAATTTAAGTTCCGAAGCGGTAGCCCAATAAATCCTAAACACTAAGCCCTAAACCCTCAAGCCGAGATAGCTAGAAATTGTATAGTGCCCAGGACTTGAGGTCAAAGCCAAAACCCAAAGGGGCCATTTTGGAACCGCAAACCCTGTACAATTCCCATGAATCCATGAATTCTAAGCCCTTCCACAAGTGATCCGCATCTGGATTGTCGCATGACGGACTGCATAAAGTCTGAACCCAAACCCTAAACTCCAAACCCTAAACCCTAGATCCTGAA